TAAGGGTGACTCTATAGTAGTTGTAATTCAAGGTACAAAAGAGGCTGTCTGTGAAAAAAGGAAATAGCTGTAAATTAGGAAGACAAAGGGCAGAAAAGCAGGAGAGGGGAGAAAGTTGGGGGGGAGAACAAAAGTCTAAGTGGTCATGTCTGCCAGGTACCTGGTGAATCAGATGTCAGGCAGGTTGTAATGTGTCATAAATCCAATGTATATACTGAGTCCATATTTTTTGTATCCAGTAGATTTATGAAGTAAAGTTCATAGGCTCGTCTATGAAAGTGTTTTGTAAGTTCCCTTTGAGGATTAGAGCTGAGAGATAGGAGACGGAGTGATTATCTCGTGAGAAGTGTGCACCCACAGGTAGTTGGGTATTCTTGTTTTTGATAGATTTTCAGTGTGCGTTCATTTTTGTGCAGTTGTTGTTTGATTTCTTGTACATATTTTCCATCAGGGTATTTGGTGCACTGGGTGAGATATACAACATTTCTGGAGGTGCAAGTATGAGATCCAGAAATAGTGATGGTTTTGTTGTGGGGTGTAGTTATTGTAGGGTTGGGGGAGATGTGTTGGCAGCCGTGCAGACTGAAGCATTAGATGTTTTGGCACTTTCCCAAAGAAAGGTTGAGCTTTTTCTTTTCCTTCAGTTCCCAAAGACTGAGTATCTAGATGTCCTTTCTTAAAATGATTGGCCACAGTTCTTTTGAGTCTCAGTGCAAAGGCTGAATCACAAATGCCCTTTGCAATATCTGACTCCCTCCAGATTGCTGCTGGGAATGTAACCTGGCATGTGACACATTAGGAGCCAAGAGGGAAATGGTTATAATGAGCTTCTGATTCCCATTGCAGACTTAAGGGATTCTGAGTACCCTTGAAATGGGGAGATGAACACCAATGTTCTCAAATGACAGAGCTGGCTAAGATGCCTGCTGTAGAACTACCTTGCTGCAAGCTGTTAACAATGACATCATTCAATTTGCACAGGGGATTCATTGATTTATCACAATGGCATGCCGTTCTCCACTAAAGACGAACAGAATAACTCTACTTTCAACTGTGCACGACTCTACAAAGGAGCCTGGTGGTACTTTTATTGCCACGAGTCCAATCTGAACGGACTTTACAAGAGGGGAGTACATGAAAGTTATGCAGACGGAGTGAACTGGATGAGATGGAAAGGGTATAAATATTCCATGAAAACTACAGAAATGAAAATTAAGCCAATGTGAAACTCATAGGAAGGTCAGGACAAGAGAAGATTTAGACAAAGGGTTTTAGAACATTTGGATTGTCCCAACCCCCGCCACTGCCTCCTGATCAACCTTAGAAACAAATAAAGCACTGCATTGGTCACAAGGGGCTGCTCTTTTTGCTTCCCAGTAACTGGAGTTGATACAGGAATATCCTGAAAGTAGTTTTATGGTGTCTGGGTTATGTGTAGCTATGTCTAAAATCCCTGTGCAGAATTGCCGTGGAGGGCTTCTCTGAGGGTGGAGTAAATGCGGAGGTGCATGTTGCTTTATTCACTCTGAACCCTGACAGATCTGTGGATAATTACTGTCTTTTGCTTACTTCTTTCATGACAAATAGTGAAATAGTGACAAACAGAGGCATGTTCTAGGGCTGTGTGATGCTTCGGGTGCTGATTTGATTCGGAGGAGATATGGCCCGATTCAGTGGCCGAATCTCCAAATTCGAATCAAATCAGGGGAACAATTAAAAGGTCCAAATTGATTCTAAGCTCTCCAAATTGATTCAGAAAAGATTTGAAGAGCTTCAGCCATTCAGGTAGTCTCTGCTCACAGGGGAGAGGGGATTATGAGGGGATCCCTGCCAGGCCCCATCCCCTGCCTGCTCCCCCCGACCCCTGCCCACTCTCCAAGGCCCCCTCCCCCCATGGCTGCCTTGCCCACCCCAGCTCCCAGTTGTTTAAAAAAGAGCCCCCACTCACCAGCTGCTGCCAGGCAGGGGGGCAAACCCCACTGCCCCATGCTGTGTGGGGGGCTCTGCCACATGCTTCTGGTCCATTTCCAGGTTCGCCGCTGAGTATGTGGAAGGGCCCCCCATGCTCCTGTGGGATGCTCCATCCACCCCAGCACTGCAGCATTCACAAGCCGCGCTGCTACCTCAAGCTACGTAGAAAAAACATTTAAAGCTGTGTCTATGTTCAAATCACTGATTCTCCAAATCAGCATTGAATCTTCAGGTTCAGAGTCAGCTAAATCGAATCAGGGACAGCGATCCGAATCAAATAATCAAATCACTGTCCCCGATTTGGGCCAAATCCAAATTGAACAGTGTTTGTTTCGCACACCCCTACCCAATACCCAAGCCTAAGATTTGCAAGGCAGGTGCTAACAAACCCAAACTGTGGTTTTATACCCACTTAGCAACTGATCGTAGTGGAGGCCGACTAAGTTAGGAGGTAGCCATAGGTCTAAGTCAGCCTGCAACATTGACAAGACCAACCATGTCTCACAGGGACATTCAGGAAAGATGTGGACATTGGTGAAAATCCCTGACCTATTCCTCTTATCTTTTGTGTTTTTCATCTCGGCTTCCTCTAGACTGGAGCACTTGTCCAAAGTGCAAGAGTGGTCCTCGCTCAGGCAAGCCACTCTGCCCTCCCTCGCACTAACTGCCGTGATCTGCACTCTGCCGTCTGCTCAGGCTGGCTCCAGACTTGAGGCAGTTAGACATTTCCTGATGCAATATGATTTTTGTCCAGTTTGTTGAAAGTGAAAGGTTTCTCTGAAACATATTTGAACTGTCATCAAGCCACAAGTAGGTTCTATTGGAATCCTGCCGGGTTTTGTAGCAGCTCCCCAAGTGGGCTGGTTGGAGCCCAGCTTTCTAAGGTCACAGCTTGGAAGCAAGTCTGGAAATTTTACCTCCAGGGGGAGGTAAAATCTGCCCCTAAATTACTTAAAGATTGGACTTGGATCTTCAGCAACAGAGATGCTTTGGAAAAGCCTGTCCTCAATGGTGATGTGATCATAAACTCATGTAACCAGGCTCTTCTTTTATTTCAGGGGCAGTTAGTAATGGTCTTAAAGCAAATGGGGCCAAGTCTGTAGAAGACACTGGGCGCAGAGTCAGAGCTGAAGTAGGAAATTTCATGTAGATGTGTTTGAAATGCCTGTTGGTTATCTTTAACTACGTTTCATCCTAGTTATTGCAGTGGGCAGTCTGTGCTGTTTTCACACAGGGAATCAAATGTTTCTTGACAGCTAGTGCAGAGACTTACTGTGAACATGTGGGCCAGGTCTTTCTTCTTTTTATGAATATTTGGGTGCCGCTGCGTAGTGGATTGTCATCATGCTGTTTGCTCCCTGGTTTCCAAGAGCTGCCTCCGGAAAGCACTCTCCTCCATTTGGCAGAAAGGCCAACCATGGCTGCCAGTTACTAGCATGTGCAGGAGTTCAGGCCTTTTGAAATTATGCCTTCTACTGAACTGAGCCCAACATCCTCATGCCAGTAGACAGTGGAGGGGTTCAGGCAGGAATCAGCAATAGTTATCGTTTAGAAAATGAAGCCTGAGGCCCTGAGATCTTGGGAGAGGCAGTACCTGCAGAGGTGAAGATGAACCCTTCCTTCAAGAAGTGCAAGTTCCTCAGCCTGTAAGCCCTGATGGAAATACTCAGTTAAGGGCAGTACCCATGTGTAGTCTTGGTGGAGAATTAGCCCTGTTCTCCAGTTGCCTCTCCAAATGACAGAAAAATAATACCTTGTGGTACTTGAAGAGTATGGGAGAGTTTAATGGGGCCTGGCCCTGTCACTGCAGAGAGGAGCATGCCTGGGCCGCCGCCAGCCCAGGACACCTTCCCCACCACCTCCCTGAAAAAGACACAGCTGTGCTCTGACCCGACAGCTGGCTGGCAGCCCATGTGGCTGGTGCAGCTGCCGCCCCAACAGATTTGAGGAGAGAAAAGCACCCAGGAGAGGCTAAACAGGGCTGGCTGGCAAGGAGCAGGCAGGAAGACTTCCCCTCACTTGGCAGGAACCCAGGAGGAACCCTGCAGGGAGCCCACACCCAGACCTGGGCTGCTAGGGGGACACACCAGACCCACCACATAGATAACAGTTGGTGGGGACCAAAATCACAAACACAGCTCAGTGCAATCTTTTTTTAATTAACTCTTTATTGTTCATTTGTGTTTGTCAATAGTTAACCCAGAGCAGAGAGCCCAAGGCCTCAGGGAAATCTGTAATTTTAGTGGCAAGCTTCAGGCCAGCTGTCTGGGGGAAGTCAGGGTTGGGATCGGTGGATGATATATGCGCCCCCCACCCCCCCGGCCCCATGCTTACCAGTAATGCATGCAGTGGAAGGAGCCTCCCTTCCCCCCATACCCATGTCCCCCAAATCATCCCACATACCAACTTGGCTGGGCAGCACCTGTTGGTGCCCCCTTCACTTTGGCACCTGGGGCAGTCAACACATTTGCCCCGCCACCCCTTGCTATGGCATTGGTGGTGTAAATAGTGGCACTTGGATTACATTAAATGTATTCTCCTCAACAGCCAAGGTTTCATCACAAGTCTTCGATGGCAAACAGTAATGAAATGCATATGAAGAATGCCTGTTTCTGTCAAGATCTCCCAGAGCTTTCCAGACCCAGGATGGCCACACCTTACAGACTAGCAGGATCTTTAGATATGTGGGCCAACTTGTTCCTGTGGACTGCTCAACTCTTGAGGCAGCTGCATACCCAGGCTGTGGGAGCACAGGAAGCTCAGGTGTCAAGCTCTGATTTAAAAAGTGGTCTCCCATCTTCCAGCTCTAAATGCAGGTTTGGAGAAGCCTTAAGGTCCCTAACCACAAAGCGCTCTGTGTTTTTGGGCCTGCCTCAGAGCTGTGGACTACAACAAGGTAGGCTTCCTGCCTGTGGTTGGATAAGAATTCCAATTTCCTATGAGTGTAGGAAAGTTAACAGGTGTCCTCAGTGCATTCCTGCCCTTAGGACTACTTCCACCTTCCAACTGGACTACTACAGCAACATTTCCTAATGATTGAAATGGTGCCATAGAGGGAGCATCTACATGTGATACTACATTGCCATAGCAATGCATTACGGTGACGTAGCGTCTGCAGGCAAAAACTATGACACCACTGTTATGTCGCTGGAGCAATGCACTCCCTCAGTATAGTTCATTGCTACAGTGACATAGCAGCTAAAAAGAACTGTGCACTGCCAGCACAGTGCAGTACGGGCTATTACTGTGCCATCCTCTAGTACTTCCAAACGCGCAAGTACCTCAGCCTGTAAGCACTGATGGGAATGCTCAGTTAAAGGCAGTACCCATGTGTAGGCCCGGCAGGGAATTAACCCTGTTATCCAGTTACCATTGTAAATGATAGAAGAATAATACATTGTGGTACTTATGGAGTACGGGAGAGTGTAACAGGGCCTGGCCCCATCACTGTGGGGAGGAGCATGCCCAAGCTACTGCCAGCCCAGGACGGCTTCCCTCCCGCCAACTCCCTGAAAAAGACATAGTTTCATAGTTGGTCGGGTCGGAAGGAACCTGAGCAGATCATCAAGTCTGATGCCCTGACATGGCAGGAAAGAGTACTGGGGTCAAACGACCCCGGCAAGGTGTTCATTTAGCCTCCTCATAAAGACGCCCAGGGTAGGAGCCAGCATCACTTCTCTTGGAAGTTGGTTCCAGACCCTAGCCGCCCTGACTGTGAAGTAGTGTCTCCTGATGTCTAGCCTAAACCTACCCTCTGCCAGCTTGTGACCATTATTCCTAGTCACTCCTGGTAGTGCTCGGGGGAACAGGGACTCCCCCAATGCCTGCTGGTCCCCTCTGAC